TATATATATATCTTTGTAAGCACTATCTCCTATTAGAGAAGATAATAACATGTAGCAAAGGAGGTTATTCTACAAGTTTTGTGATCATACGCTTCAAAAAGACACTCAGCATCCTAGACTATGAAATGCTTGGCAATTCAATCACTTTCTAAAAAGTCAGAGGTTCCAACGTGGTACTAGAGGGTCTGTGCAGAAGGACCACCACACCCAGGGGTAATATGCCTTCAGGATTCGGCCTGATTCCACTTCCTCCGAGTGGTCCTAGGCAGATTGCATAACGGGGCTCAGTTTGGACTCTATGACATAAGATGTCAGTGAAAAACTCACAGTGCTTCCAGAAGCCACCCAACGGTAGGAGGGCGCAGTCCCACTGAGCCGTGCCCCTGCAGGACGCTCTGTGCGTTTCCTTCCGGCTGCTCCTCCCTGATGCTGACCTCGTTCCCCATGTGACCACCACCTCCCTCTGCAGTCCCAGCTCTGGTGATCACTGCTTCTCTTTGCTGCTGCGATCTTGTCACTTGTGCCCTGGAACTCAGGCTTTCAGTTAGAGTCCTTTTCTTGCAGGAGCGTATGTCCCAGGGGCTGGTTGGGAAGGGTATTAGGGACACCCTCTGAGCTCTCCTAAGTCTTTGTCCATAACACACTGCCTTGACTTTCTCATTCCTGGGGATGGATCCTGCCTCCCCAGAGACCCTTCCTTGGTAGAATCCCCCAACAGAACTGAGAATCCCCAGGAAAATAACCCCCTCCCACAGCCTGACTCCAGATTCCAGGGTCCAGATGGTGGCTCTCCAGGCTGCTGATGCGTCACTGCTGAGAAGGTGTGCTGCTCTTCCCCTCTGTAGTGAGGACAGAGTGAGGAAGAAAGGGTCTAACCTGTGGCAAAGAGAATTCTAGCAAGACAGTAAATAACAATTTTCTACTGTTGAAGATTACTAATCATTAGAATGCCTATGAGAACTATTTTTTTTAAGTGACTAGACTCACCCAGAATCAGTTCTCATGTGTCAGTCTTCTAGGGGCTGGGAATTCAGAGACATCTATTGTGGTTGGGTGGTGGTTCCTCTGAAGGAAGGTTTCTCAGCCTCCTCACTGTTGACATCTGGGACCAGATAATTCTTGGTTGTTGTAGGCTGTTCTGTACATTTCAAGGCGTTAAACAGCATCCCTGGTCTGTACCCACTAGATGCTTGTGGCAGCCCCTCTGCCAGTTGTGACAACCGAAAACATCTCCAGACATTGCCAGATGTCCCCTGGGAAGGGAGGCTGGGGACACAACTGCCTGATTTTGAGAATCACTAGTCTAAGAATATAGTAAGATTAGTGCGTCCTGATTTGTTTATGTGACACGGAGTTTGGGGAGAGATAATTCTCTTCGTAACGCTTTTATCTTGAATTGACCAGCTAAATGGTTAGAAGAAAATGTAGAGGAGGTAGTAACCTGGTGAAACCCCAGAGTTATAATCCTGTCAGGCAGAGTTTAGTCTGCCCCTAAAATAAGATAATGGAACAGGGCTACAATCACTCATTGGGAATAGGAAAGGCGCCTGCCGTGATCAATCGCATCCAATGTAGCATTACGGCCCAAGAAGGCAAGCCGTGAAAACAAGTCCTAACTGGCATCAAATAAAAGGTTTTTAACCACATGGAGCAAATCATTCTCTGGGCTGTGCCAGGAAGGAATCTGGAAGGGACACAATTATGGAGATTATGACTAGAGAGATGATTAGAGACTTGGGGAATTCTTTTTTCAAGGACTTGCTAAGGAAATGGGACTGTAATTAGAAAGGGAAGCAGAATGAAGGCTTTTTCCCCCCGCCTCTCTTTTAGGTGAACTAAAAAGCTTCCGTAAATACATAACAAGAACCTACGAAACTTCCAAATCAGCAGGCAAATGTTCTGACTTCAAAAATCACTAATGAGTACATCCTAAAGCCAAGTACTGCAGGTGGCAGTCAGCCTCTCGCTTACCTGTCAAGTCCGGAGCTTCGGGAGTTTTAGGTGTGTCCTGAAACAGCAGCTGACAAGCTATTGAAATGAAAGTTCTGAATAAAATTAGGACAGCCTGTTAGCCCAAACAGGAGGAAACATGGTGAAAGATTTAACGGATCTGTGAGCTGAATTTTTTTTTTGTCGATATTCTTACTTTGAAAAGAGTAGAAAGTAATTTTTGCCTTTTTTTGGAGGGGTGGGGGGAGCAGCAGATAAGAACCCAAACTAAGATCCAAGGTTTTTATCATTTGGCAAATTTCAAAGATATGAAAGCAGAATTTTTGGCACCCAGGGATTGAGAGGCAAGTGACATCATATGGCTTAAGGGAAATAGAGAGCTAAAAAAGTGCATTTGGAAACTTTCAGAAGCTGGCTGCCGCTGAAATAATTTTCAATTTTTTTTTCAGTAAATTTAGTTGTCACAAAAGGCACAAGATTGACAAGCCTGTAGAGGAAATTGTGCGTGTCTGGGAGATACCATGGCAGCTCCTGCCGGAGGAGCACCAGGGCTGGAAGGTCTGCACGTGCCTTGTCAGAGCTGGCCTTCTGGGGGCGACTCTCAC